ATCGGTGCGTCTATAAAATACCGGACAGATCAAGAGTGAGCAAAAGGTTGCGTCGTGTCGATGGTGGCGTGGTTGAATTAAGAGTATATCAAGAAACGCCTACTCGTTGGTGCAGTATAAAATTCACTGCAGGCGTCGTGCGCAGGAGATTCCGCCTATGTCATTCTACGAGTGAAGGGTGCTCAGTTTCGTACAATTACAGTGTCGTAGGTTTTTTGTTGTAGTAATTATTCTAGTACTGGCAAGGAAAATGGTGTTGTGGACCAAAGAGCATGGATCAAATCACAAGCTTGTATCGGAAATAAAACTAAATGTATTAAATTTACAATAACGAATGTTAAAAATCTGAGTACCAGTGTGTTTTTAAATGGGGAAGAAATTATCCCTGTTGAATCCACTGTTTTTCTTAGCATCAGTCTCGACGCAAAGCTTCAGTGGGGCCCCCATATGTACAAACTAGCAAGCAGACTAAGTTCTGCAGCCTATACTGTAAAAAAGATTAGAGGTCTCACTAGTGTCGAGACAGCTAGATTAGTTTATTTTAGTTATTTCCATAGCATATTGTCTTATGGGATTTTGCTATGGGGAAATGCAGCTGATTCAGAAACTATTTTTGTTTTACAGAAAAGAGTCATTAGAGCTATTTACAACCTAAAACTCTTTAAATTTAAAGAAATAATTATATATTAACTTAGGCTTCTCAGTAAATTTACGAAAATTTAATGTTTAGTAAAAAAAGTGATGTAAATTCTGTAAACACTAGGAACAAACACAAGCTAGTGATACCAGTCTCTCGGCTTCACAGGGTCAGTAATTCATTATTGGGACAATGTATACGCCATTACAACAAGGTCCCGGAAAGTGTACAGGCTCTCTCTATTACCAAGTTTAAATGTTTTGTTAAGTTGAAACTGTATAAAAGGAGTTATTATAGTATAAATAAATACATTGTTGATAATAACCCCTGGGAATGAGGTGGTCGCTTCCAAGCTGGTTCTAAAATAAATTTTGTACTTATGTAGTTTGTATTATTTAATGTAACATTCAAAATTCCATTAATGTAAAATTTGTTTTTAAAAAAAAGTCCCGCTGGGTTTCTTGCTGATTCTTCCCAGGACAGAGGTTTTTTTCGAACCAGTGGTAAAGTAAAAAAATGACTTTCAATAAGAATTACACATGTGCTCTATATTGAATAAAAATTATTCTATTCTAGTATAGTATAATTTTGAGCGAAATATCCTACATCTTGCCTTGTTTATTTTAGTTATTTTTGCTGTCCAGAATACTACCTTAGTATTATATTTTGGAAGGTAACTGGACTTTTGTGCCGATAAGACTTAGAAGATGATAGCTGTTTAGCTTTATTTCATGTGTATCAATATTACTGAAGCTGGAGTTAAACCGGAAATACTTCATTATTTTGAGTACTGGGCAGCCCCAAAGAGTCGTAAACTATGACTACGTGTAAATAAAGTAAATGTTTAGACGGTCGGAAGGCTGAAAGGATTAAAATGATTCGATAAAGTACGAAAATTCCACGTCAAAGATGTTCTAAAGTAATATTTTCACAAAAAAATAACAAAGCTTTACACATTTCCAAGAAAACATTAAGCAGATAACAGCAGAGGTAGACCACCATCTCCAAGGTAAATAACATAACTAGTACAAATAAGATGTTGCATTTAAATAATAATTTCTGTGTTTTTGTCACAATTTTTATCATGACTTTAGTTATTAACTGCATCATGAATTTGAAGTACTATTTTATAAATATTATATTAAAGACCCTAAAATATAATGTCCGGGAAAAAGTTTCTTCATATTTTATATACAAATTCATGATATTTTTTACAAATAAAATACGAAGAAACTTTTTCTCCGATCAATAATTATTCGGTTAAGCCATAGATCTCATCTCCTTTACTTTAGCGCCAGAGCACGAATATGCAGAGCATCATTGAAAACTCATTTTTTTCGTTCACTTGCATTGAAAACAACCCTTAATTTTGTTTTGTTTCTTTTGATACTGTGTGTGTCAGATAAGTCAGAAAAGTATACCTATTTTATATAAAATCCACCAGCAGTACGCGTTTGCCAGTAGTCGTCAGTTTATCCCACAGACATACTGGAAGCAAAAACTCGCATGACGAGTAGAGACAACTACTCGTCATGCGAGTTTTTGCTTCCATATTTCAAATTATGAAAGAAAGTTGATGCATTCTTTAAAATATAACCCACAATAAAATTGCCAAACTGACAAAGAAGAATAAAGACGATAAATGAGCAAGGAGCTCAAGTGACGTTTTTCTTGCAACTGTTTCTTCAATTTTGTCAAACTTGCTGTTTTGATAGATTTTCTACCGACTTCAAAAAGGAGACGGTACTCAATTTGACTTTATGTTTTTTTTATATGTGTTACCTCATAGCTTTTGCTGGGGGAATCGATTTCGGTATTTCTTATTTTATTTGAAAGCTGGTAATTTTCATGTTGTTTCATATAAATTAGATCAAGGTCTAGTTAAAAGTTTTTGAGTTATTCTTAATAATTGTTATTGAAGTCGGTTGTACAAAAATTTTAATTTTAAATTATTTTGTCACAGAAAATACTGTTTCAAAATCTCAAAGTGGGAAATTTACTATCGATAGTAAAAGTTGATATTTTCAATTGTTTATAAATTTCGATATAGTCCAGGAAATAAAGTTAAAAAATGGTAAAACCTCGCAATTTTTTCGTCCAGCACCGATTTGTACAAAAATTTGGGATTAGGCTTATTTCACCCTCTAGTTCATTTTCACATAGTCTTATAGCTCTTGGAAAGCCCTACAAAATCGTTTCTGAAAAAAATTTTCAATCTATTTTCTTTTCTCGAAAATTTCGAATTACCCGCTTCGGAGCGTAGTAATGTACATAACCGGTATATAAGGCCGTTATATGTTCCACTTTTTCGATTCTTATTGGAAAACATTTGCTCACGTGTATGCGTGTGTGAGTGTATATTTCGTTGATTTCTCACCAGTGTATTCTAAAGTTCGAATACAGTAGCACGTGCTCTGACAATTTCAATGTTTTCAAGGGTAGTTTTTAACAGGGGTAGGTTTAAAGATTATGAAATTGTATCCTAAAGCATGAAACAATTATTATTTAACTATTTTACCCATATTTAGGTTTTTAATGTTATTTTATGATTTTTGAAAATAAGGGGTAGTTTTCACCCCTAAAAAACAAAAAGCGTACAACGGCACAGCACCACGTTTGAAATTGTCAGAGCACGTGCTACTGTCTTCGAACTTTAGAATACTCTGGTGAGAAATCAACGAAATATACACTCACACACGCATACACGTGAGCAAATGTCTTCCAATAAGAATCGAAAAAGTGGAACATATAACGGCCTAATATACCGGTTATGTACATTACTACGCTCCGAAGCGGGTAATTCAAATTTTTCGAGAAAAAAAATTGATTGAAAATTTTTTTCAGAAACGATTTTGTAGGGCTTTCCAGGAGCTATAAGACTATGTGAATTAAATTACTTAAGGTCCCTTAATTTTTAAATGGGGAGAGTTTAAAGCGCTTGAATAAGGTGATGTTCGATCGTAAATGTACATGTTAAACGGCTATATCTCGCCGAATATTCACTGTACAAAAAATCTGCACACAGGGAAATTTTTGTCATTAAAAAAGCTACAATTGAGTGTTATATCGTTTTTTTCGTATCTTTAGTATTTTGGGAGATATTTTTAAGAAAAGGGTTAAAAACACGAAATTGAAAAAAATCGTTTTCTCTTTAAACTCCAATTTGTCTAAAATTAGGCATTATAAATAGGTCAAACTTCGTGGGTGTATTAATAGTACATATATAAAGAGAATCACAGAATGGTGGCGATCAATTTTAATTAGGGGGTACTTTTGGGGTTGTTTTCACAGATTTTTTCGTAGAAAAAAGCGGGTACCGATCTTATTTTGATCATAAGTCGGTCATTTTTTGTTTTTGTTTGAAAGCTCAAATTAAATACTTTAAAAAAGATTCTATGAGCTTTCTTCGAATATTGCAAATTTTTCTCGTTATTTTGCTTTAAATCTTCCAATTTATGCATTTGACGAAAAAAGCTAAGCATTAATTTGCTGTATCTCAGTTCGTATTTGTCGAAAAAAAATTATGAAAAAAGCATTGTTTTTGTTTTTTTTTTAAAGCTACAATTTGGCTCTCTACACTTTTTTTTGATAAATTGCATATTTTTAGAGTTATTCGCAAAAAAACATTTAAAAAGTTTATTTTGTCGACAAAAAACTGTTACTTTCAACTTTGAATAACTCAAAAAATATACGTTTAACGAAAGAAACGTATCTAATATTTTTTTTCTTAGAATTACTTTTCCCGTCGATTCCTATAGTTAAAATGTAATAAAAAAAATCCACTCCCGAGATGTGGTGGCAACCACTCCCAAGGCTCTAGCGTACAGCGGCATGATATAGACAATGATCCTTGAGCTATTCCCTACCTTCTGTGAAAATTTCAAATAAATCCATGGTGGACGAAAAAATTGCGAGCCAAAATGCTTCATTTCCTGGACTAATAAAATTCTAACGATTAATGCAATTACGCAGTCAAAGATAAGGTAACAATTAGTACGACTATTATATCAGTAATGATATATATGATTTCCCGTGCTATAATAAACCAAAAATATAAGCATGAATATGTTAAAGCAAGATTTATGAAATAAATACTATAAAGAACCGTTTTGAGAATTTATTTTATAAAGTGTTATTTAACTCTACTGTAGTAGATAGAACTTAACTAAAATTTGTAAATTTTTGAATACCTGTAATAATATTTTGCGTTGATCACTATATTTTGCACCGTCTAATATACTTATTTACAGTTTTAAACTAACTATAACACTAAAATATTGTTTAACAAAACTTACTATATTATTATAACAGCTTTCATTAATTCATTACAAATAAAATAAATTTAATACATAACTATATAGCACTACTTTAATTTTTCTAAGGAATTTTTTCTTTTATTTGCCGTTCCTAATAAAATATTATCAGTAGATGCAGTTGTAGAATGCTGTAAAATATCTTCTTTACTTTGTATTGAATGATAATCATTCATTTCAGACCAAGCTGGATCAGATTTAGCTATTCGTTTTCTTTCTTTAATTTTGGTATATAATAAAACGGAAACCATGACAAAAAATACTACGAATCCTAAAGAGCAACCAACAATTAAGCCCATTCTACGATTGAGTATAGTTGATAAATTAAAAGTTTTATTGGACATTAACTTCACTGTTTGCTTCGGGAATGTATCAAAAGAAATGCATTCACTTGAAGATGATTGTGAAATTAACGTTGCAGCTACGCTACGACTTATATTAGAAATAAAATTAATGTCACTATTATTCACATTTGATATTTCCTCCTCAGATATCTGCATCAAAGGATGCTGATCTAAAGTTAATATACATATTATATAATTTTTACTCGGTTTTAAATCTGATATTAGAGTTGATGTCTCAGTTTTATCAATAAACTTATAGGTCACCTGTAAGCATTCAAAATTGTTTTAATAAAATATTTAAAAATTTTGTAATAAGCATATCTTACATGAAGAAAATAACTTACGTCTGAGTTTAAGTCATCGTCATAATACAATATTTGTAAAGATTTAACAGCTGTACGGTTACGAATAAACCACGAAATCGACACTGAGTTATCTTTATGTTTGTCAATAGACATTTGAGTCAAAATTGGAAAATCGCATTTCTCTTTAGGGTATTCATCGTTATGGCATGTTACAGCATTTTTTTGTATTATTTTTGGATGATCTTGAATCCATGTCCATGTATTATTTTTTTGACAACTACAAATTATAACGTTATCTGAAACAATATTGTAAACTAAATACTTTCAACCGTTTTTATCAAGAAATTTATGCAAAAGCTATCAAAAACTTACCTTTTATTGAGATGTCTTGAATATGAGTCTCAATTGATGAGAATAATTCTATCGGTATCATGTGGAGTTTATTATGTTCTAAACCTATTTGTATAATTTTATTCAAATTATTGAATGCTGTTACTGATATATATTTGATATTGTTAAAACCTAAATATAACACATTAAGTTCTTTTAAGTTGGCTAAATCTTGATTAAGAATATTTTGCAGTTTGTTATATGATAGATCTAGAACCTTCAAATTATAAAGGTCTTCAGTAAATGGTTCCATGGATTCAATATTGTTATTCGATAAACCTAAAGAGCTTAGTTTTTCAAGTCCACGAAAATTGCTGTTTTTAAGTTGGCTTATTTTATTATAACTAAGATCTAAATTTTCTAGTAAATTTAACTTCAAAAAAGGACTTATAGATAAGCGTCTAATTTTATTAAATTTTAGGTATAAATGTTGCAAACTAGAAAAGAAATTAAAATTTATATCATCAAGATTAGACAAATTAGTTTTGCAGATGTGAAGTTCATATAATTTACCTAATAGTGTATTATTAACGTCTACATCATGCACTATGGGCCACGATACTGCTGGATTTTTACTTATGTCAATACTAATTAATGGCACTCCATTATTGGTGCGTGATAACAAGAAGTCAAAATGAACAATATCGTTATAAGAAATGTTAATATTTTGTATCTTTGGGAAACTTTCATACAACAAAGATGGCAAAATACTTAATTTATTATGACTTAAGTCTAATAATAATAATTCCTTTAAGACTATTCTTTTTTTCATGGTAAGTGATTGAATTTCATTTTTTCTTAAATTTAAGTATTTTAATTTCGTTAATTTTTCAAAACCACTTAATTCAATTTTGGGTAACAAGTTGTCTGCTATATCTAAAGTTTCAATAAGAGTTAGATTATGAAAGGTATTGTATGGTACGTAATCTAAAAAATTGTTGCTTATGTTTACTTCAGATATAGAATTATATGATTCAAACAATGTAAAAGGAATACCTCCAATATTATTCTGTGCTATATTTAGCCTTACTAGATGTTTGTTAAATGAAAATGTGCCTTCAAAAATGTGTTCTAAATTGCAATGTTCTAAAAATAAAACTTCAAGTAGAGGAAGTTGAGAAAAAGAATCAACAGGTAAACTATCGAAAATATTGTAAGAAAGTGACAAATATTTTAATCCTGGGATGTCAACATAAATTAAGTCACTAGACTTAAGTGAATTATTTTTAAAGGACAGATATTTAAGATTATTCATCCCTTCGAAGGTACCATTTTCTATTTTTTGTATTTCACAACTGTCTAAGTACAATGAACTTAAAGGTAAACCTTGATGGAACAGATTTTTGTAAAGTACTTTCAAGGGGTTAAAGGACAAACTCAAAGTTCTTATTTTCTTTAACGTATCAAAAGCCATGCTAAAAATAAAAACGATTTTATTATGTGATAAGTTTAAGTCTTCTAACTCGAAAAGACCTACGAAAGTATAATTAGTGATATTACGTAATAAATTATTGTGTAAATCTAAATTTCTCGCGGAACGAAGTTGTTGAAATGTAAAATCATCAATTATTGATATTTCATTACTGTGAAGTTCAATTCGAGTTAAGTGAGTTAAATTTGAAAAAATATTTTTTGATAAAAATTTTACGTAATTATTTGTCAAACTTAAATGATATAACTTCTGTTGATATCGAAAGCTTAAACTTTTTATTGAGGAAAGCAAATTAGAACCAATTCGTAACTTTAGTAAAGTAGAACTTGGCTTTGGTAATATATCATCTATTTCAACTAGGTAATTATCGTGTAAACTAAGGTGCCTGAGTCGAGACATTTTAACAAACGTCTCTGATTCTATACAAGTAATTTTATTATTATTTAAATAAATCTCCTCTGCCATTGTTAAATTATAAAAAAGATATTTTGAAATAAACTTCAAATTATTATTGTTGATTAAAATTTCCCTTAATATTGCTTGGCTACCGAAAGTGTAATTATTCAAATCTATAACGTTATTATTGTCTAATTTTAAAATAGTTAAATTATAATTATTAATAAATATATCTTGTGGCACTTGAGTTACGTAATTGGAATCTAAGCGCAAGGCAGCTAAGTTCTCTAAATTACTAAAGCTTTTACTATGAATCTTATATATACAATTTTTTTGTAAGTGTATTGTATTTATTTTAGTTGAGTTAAAAAAGGAATCAATTGGCACCTCCAAAATGTTGTTGTTTCCTAAAAATACTTTTGTTAAAAACGGCATGTTAGAAAAAAGACCATGTATGTGATGTAAATGGTTATGACTTAAATCAATGAATTCTAATTCTTTATTATTTTGAAAAAGGTTTGTATTTAACACTTTGATTCTATTATGACTCAAATCAATCGATTTAAGGTAAAGTAACGAGTGGAAAGCGCGATAATGTATGTTATTTATAAAATTAAAATGAAACGATAATATTGACAGGGACGGACAAAATTTTAAGCAGTCTTCTGAAATTAATACAAAATTATTAGAACTTAAATCTAAAAATTCAAGTGCCTTTAGATCGTAATCATCAACACTTGGGAAAGAAGACATTTCATTCCATGATAATCGTAAAGATCGAAGATGTCTCAATTTTGCAATTGACGCTATGGGAAACACTGTTAGATTATTTTCACTTAAATCGATTTCTGACAGAGTTGATTCCAAACTAGAAAAGGCTGAATCCGAAATGTGTCTAATAATGTTTTGTTTTATGTTTATTTTCATCAACGGAAGACCATAAAAACTATAACTCGGAATTTCTTCAATGTAGTTAGATGCAAGTTCAATAGACATCAGTTTGATCATGCCTGAAAATACTTTTTGTGGAATATATTTAATTTTACTTGACACAATACTTAACGTTTCAAGGCACTGTCTTAATGGCGCAAACGTCTCATCATCGATAATTCTAATGTTTGTTCTTGATAAATGTATATGTTTAATGCAAATGCCAAACGGTAAAAAATGTGGTCCCAAAACTTCTTCTGTGTCATCTAAGTCGTATATGGATAAGGAATGTACATTCATAACCCACTTGAGCGCATTTTTTATTTGTTTTATATTTGAGTCTTGACAGTCTAAAAAAATAGCTGTAAATATTTAAAAATACAATTTTTATACATTCTATAGCACACACAGTACTCTTTATAGTATAGTATAAAAATGTATAGGGCATTGGTAAAATGTTATATATTTACCTTCTTCAAATATATAACATGTGCATTTATCACTTTTAACGAAATTGTTACACTCCAGGGTATTTTTAGCTCGGAGAACTGGAGGTAATACCAGTAATAATGAAATAATTTGCCATATAGAACTTTCATGTTTCTTCTTTTTCAAACGTAAAACAATTGTCATAATTACATCATTATTTAAAATAGTTGTTCAATATCACCCACAATAATTTGTCCGGAAACTCTGAAAAAAAACGGAAATAGTTTGAGAATTTAAAAATATATATTAAACTTTATCTAATAACAATAATGCAATAAATATGTTTATTGAAATATTATATACATGTTTTTTATAAAAATCTTCTATAAATCATAAACTGAAGTTAAAAAGTTGAGTAGTCATGTAACGTACATGTAAAAACAATCAATAATATTTTTAGCTTTTAAGGCGCAATGGCACAAATAGACTCTGACAAAAGCTAAAACTGACAATACAACAGACATTATACATAAAGTACTCTTTAATTTTTGTGATAAAAACTTACCAAATTGTTTTTAACTCACGTTAGCTGCTCATTCAGAAATCATAGTTACTCTTTAGAACTTAAAGTTCATTTTCGTAGTTCAATTTAGCGCAGCTGGTACAATTCCACATGCGACTATCTCTTACTTTCATATGCACATTGGACGCATACAACGGAAACGTACTTAGCTTAATTTTAAGAGAAGGTAACTTAAGTACAATAAAATATAATTTTACACAACAGACGACGCTGGAGGTCATTAGAAAGCTCGACTGAAGACTGCCGCGGCGGCGCGCGCTGTGTAGGTCACCGCCGCGTTGTTGCGGCACCCCCGACCCACTATTATTATACTTTTATGACGAATCGGATTTCACCACTCGAGCTTTGTGTGATGCAGTCATATAGAAGTTTGTCTAACAAATATTATATCAACCTATATTTAGGTACAGGTCTCCTAAAATTTCAATAGGAAATGTTACTCCAGTGAAATATTAAATAGATCGAAAGGAATAAAGTTATTTTGAATTCCTTGTGAAACTCAAAAGTGTGAAGTAAAACAAACTGCTTATTCAACTTATTTATGTTATAGAAAAACCTTTTTGTTTTATAACAAATACAATTTCAGTTATAAAATATCTTTAATTAAAAATATAATAAACACCTTTAGTTGTACAAGTTTTGTATAGAATATGTAAGAGTACTTCAAACGATTTCACGTTTGTGCTTACGACACCTAAAAGTGGGTCAATAAAAAGCCTTTTATATTTGAAGGGCTTACGGTGAATCGCGAGAAATATTTCATAATTACTGAAAATTTTGTTGAACGTATTAAAGAGTAAGGAAACGTAATAAAGAGTTTGAACGTGAACGTATTATGAAATTTATTACAATAACAAAAATTATATTTTACAATAATTTTAATTTTGATAAATATAGCAGATACAAAAAAAGAGAATTGAATTAGACGACTATTATCTAAAAATAGAAAAATGTTTATTATAGTTGATATTTTTCTATTAAACTGAAGTGACAATCGAATTAAACAGTCCATCTGATGGAAAGTGTTTACTGCATTCCAAATACACCTGCAGCCAACTTCAATCAAGAACAGCTACAGATAATGTGTCACCTCAGAGAGCCAAGAGCAATGCCATAAAGCCTGTAATTACTAACCCTCATTACCCTTCATACTGGAACAAAGCAGAGCATGCCTTGCTATATGGTGGTATATTTGTTTTTAACTAAATTAAAATAGTGAAAAGTAAAATGCGTTTACTGTGAAAATATATAATAATAAATATAAAATTATCATGGTTTGAATATAACTTGGTAGAGCTGCAGTAACTTAAAAGCTAAGCGCTAGTCTTGATTTTCGAGTAGGCGAGAAGCTCAAGTTTGATTCTCTCGGGCACCAGTAAAATTGTTAAATCGTTGTTTTAAATGCCGAACGTGCTTTGTGTTGAATGATTTTGACAGGAAATCTTTATTTATTTAAAATAACTCGAGGGCAAATGAAATCCAACGACAATGCCGACACTGTGGTCAGTAGAGTTGCGAGACGTACTCTTGACCATTTCAAAAATCCTCTCAGAAATGAGAGGTGGCATGTATGCAACAGCGTGACGTTTAAGAAGCTGCAATTTTTTATTTAACTTCGCTGAAACCAAATCAATACGAAAAGTTGGTAAGTTTTGACAAAAATAGTAAATTAATTTATTACATATAACGAATTCAAATTTCAAACTCAAATTCAAATTTTTATTTATTTATGAATACAGGTAATGAGACACAATAGATCTTAAGAAAATAAATAAAAAATTTGAATTTGAAAATAAAAACGAATAATATGTTACTTTGGTTAACTTTTACAGGTAATAATATTTCATATTGTTCCAACAACTGTTATCTCTTGTGTTGACATCGATGCTATGCTTGCGTAGAGGCTAAAGTGATCGGGCAGATAAACTTTCAGACAGCTTCAACATATGTGTATTTATACGCGCGTATTTTTTAGACGCTTATCAAATCGGTTGATTTTCGAAATATATTTTTTATATAGAAATAGTTTGACAAACGTGAAGTGATATATAAACGTGATAAACCAGCGTGAAGTAGAGGTTTACCTCTGCGTTTCGCTTGGTGAGTGCAGGTAGTCGGAGGCCCTCTTTACTGGAAATGAGGCATTCCATCTTAGTCTTCACGGGTGACAACGCATCTACATATTGATTTGTAATAGAGGATAGATGTAGATGTCTATGGGCCACAGCAACCACTTACCATCAGGTGGACTGTGTGCTCGTTTGTCACCCTTATCCAATAAAAAAAAAACAAAACGACCTCACAGTCCATTTGAAGGTAAGTAGATGCTGTGGCCCATACACGTCTACATTTATCCTCGATTAAGAATCAAAATCATTTCGTAAAAATGGTTTCCAGTTCTCTACACTCACCTGTGTTTCACAGAAGCATTAAGCTACTATTTTACGCTGGTATTCTGCGAGAGCGTGGTGCTACACTAATCGAACCGACTCATTTATGCAAAACCATTATATAGCTGCAGCTTCGTCCCTTATATATATATATAGCACACGTATGAGTAAAAGAATTATTATTATTATAACTTATAATAAGAGCTAGTATGGTGCTCCCACCAGAATGTTCTACCCTTCGCAGAATACTAGATCTGCAGTAGACTTGTCATTGTGCTCTCCAATCTTGGCTGCTAGCATATCATGGAAAACTCTTCCTTCCTCTTTTGGTAGTGATCACTTTCCCATCCTCTTAAACCTAAGTAATAGATGTGTCCCTACTCGAAGTATATCTCCCCTTTTTAAATTCAACCTGTCTGAATCTGATTGGGATGTATTTTCCTCATAATCAGAACTTCACATCAATAACCTTCCCCCAGTTTCTTTAGATACCCTTCAGCTATCACTAAATTCTGATTCGATCGAGTGATTATGAGCCGATGATGTTAGATCTATAGTGTTTTTACAAGAGGGCGCGTGAGCATGAGAGTAATAATAGTGTAGCGCTTTTAATTTCTCATCAACAAGGATGAATAGACATCGTTTCGGAAAATATTAATTTCTTTGGTTGAAGGCTTCTGAGGACGACTTCAGTAGTATTACACGTTATAATGGATGCACTTAGTGTTTTACCTATCTTTTGATGCATTTTATGTAGAGCATAAACGGTCGATAAGAAATCGTTCCATGCATGCTGGAGTTGATCGCCGGATAAAACAAACGTTCCATTCGGTACGTGCGCGATCAATTCTAAAACCAGCCGATCACAACCGGCCGGCGGCATAAGCTTTTATACGCGCGTAGCTTTTGTGTAACTTTCTTGTCTCATAATAGTAGAATTATGTGGATCTAAAAAGATTAATTATTACATTTATTTAATGCACAAGGTGTTACAAAATTGCAGTGTTGAATTTAAAATATTTTAATTTTTTTTAATCCAGCATCCTTATTGTTATGAACATGATGTAAACTGTGTCTATATGATTGCTTTTTTAATATAACAGACAGCTTTATTCGCAAATAAGTTATAACGAAATGGGACTTAAATCGGCTTACAGCTTTGATTGATCTGATAATTAATTTTCTAATGGAATATAATAATGAAAAATGTACGGCTCGGTAGCGCTGCAGCTACGATTTAGACACGAAACAAGTATTCGTATGACCCATAAGTATTTTTTCCTAAACTAGGCGTTCATTTAAATGTTTGAAGTGACCTGCAAATAATTATATTTTGTCTGGTGGTATGCTCACAATATCTAGAGGATTTTTTTAGTGTAGAGGTAACGAATAAATGCCTTTTTATTGTCTAGAGCTACGTAGCGATATGCAATTTTATTGAAATTTCTTCAAAACGTTTATCTAAGCATGTCAAAAGATAATTTTATAAATAACTCAATGCTTTTAAACACTACTTTATATACCAATGCAAAGTCGCAGAAATGGAGATAGGCTAACACTTCACCAAAGTTTCTTGTAAATTTAACTCGTTGCCTTGGCCGCAGGTAGTCCAGCATCTAGGTCACTATACTTGGCCTCTTTTGCAAATTGTGGTCACAAATAATAAAGTATTTTTAGTACTGTGAGACTAATTTTCCAATATTCACGGGTGGGAAGCCAATGCATGCAATAAAAACATAAAAAAAACATAAACACTCACGCCTGTCACCCAGAGGGGTAGGCAGAGACTACGGACTTCCATTTGGCGCGATCCTGACACACCTCTCTCGCCTCTTTCACATCCATATATCTACGCATACACGCTCGTCAGTTAAGGGTACTCCTAATCTGGCCCATTTTCAATGTATCGCCGATCTGGTCGATAAACCTTCGTCTAGGGCGTCCCTTCCCGACCCTGCCGTTCACTTCTGCAACATAAATTTGCTTTGTCACTTTTTCCTCGTTCATTCTTTCTACGTGACCAAACCACCGAAGCATTCCTTTCTTAATCCTTGTCACAACGTCATCTTGCAAACCACACTTTTCTCTTATTACACTATTTCTCACCCTGTCATTCAGATTCAGCCCTAGCATACTCCTTAAGGAACGCATTTCTACAGCATTTATTCTACTCTCATGCTTCTTCTGCCAGACCCAACTTTCACTACCATACATTAAAGTGGGTACTAACA